AGAGTAAATAATCTTTTTAGCTGAACTAAGAATTAAGTAAGATATGATCTAATGGGCATGATATGTGAAAGTTCTTTGTGAAATGCCCTATTCTGTAAGTGGTTGTACATGTTTATAGCTGGAGGTTTTCATTTATTTATACAACATATATTCAACTATGTGCCACATAGTCTAGGCATTTTATACAAAGTTGAGTAACTAGTTCCTGTTCCTGAGGAGCTGTTATTCTAACAGTTTTTTCAAACTAATCACATCACCCAAGAGACTTGTTAAAAATGCACATTCCTAGGCCTCAATGGGCAATCCCCCAAACCCTAGATTCTGATTCAGCGAGTCTAGGGTTGGCACCCAGTGATCTGCCCTTCTACCGGCAACCCAAAGTGACTTTTATAGAGGCCCCTGGACCACATGAGGAGGAACACTGACCACCATCACCCAGAAAAAGTCAAAAGCAGACTTCAAATCTTGATTCTATTACTATAATGAAAATAAAAGCCAACTGGAAGAAAAGGCTTGAGTCATTACTCTTTCTCTAAAGTAAAAGCTAACAAGGAAAGTGCTATATAACAAGAAAACAGTATGTATGACTCTTCCTGAATATATGAAATATAATAAACCCACGTTTTTACTCTGCCTCTCCCTAACCCCAAAATCAAGAACGACAGGAGAACCAGTGGTTTTTAAACTCAGGTTTTCAATATTGTCCTATGTATGCTCTTCATCGCACTGCGAGACGGCATGTCCTCTAATACTCAGCAGTCCTTCTCTCCGCTCACTCCATTCGCTTTATTTATTTATTTGTTTTGGTGTTTAAAATATGTTTATTACAGCTCCTGAAAATTGGGCAGCCAGCAAAAAGTACTAATACATTTTAGCGTTTGCATTTTTTTTATCTAAAAGCTGTGATAATGGCTTATGTGGATACTTGCTTTTTGAGACAAGTTGAGGTTCAATCCTGCGAATGGGAAAAGTAAACATCATTTCCCTCGAACATTAGAGCTATCTTTGGAGGAGGTTGATTTGATCAAATTCTTTCCCCATTTTTAAAATAATTTTTATTGAGTTACAGTCAGTTTACAATGTTGTGTCAATTTCCAGTTTAGAGCACAATTTTTCAGTTATACATGAACATACATATATTCAATGTCTCATTCTTTTTCACTGTGAGCTACCACAAGAGCTTGTATGTATTTCCCTGTGCTATACAGTATAGTCTTGTTTATCTATTCTACATATGCCTGTCAGTATCTACAAATTTCACTTTTGACTCCTTTTTGCAATGCCTGAGGGTGGAGGTAATTCAATACCCTACTTTGGTAGGATTATCTGACTAATATTCTTACCAGGTGTCCCTTCGCTGCCAAATTCCCTTCTCTCATTTTGATAATGTGATCACCCTGGGGACTAAAAGATTAAAACTATCATTCTTTCCTAAGAGAAATGAAGCAGAGAAAGTTAAAAAGAACTTACACATAACCGAGAGGCGGTGAGAAGGTTGGAAGGGAGACTTGTTTTGCTTTGTCTACTGCTATGCTGTACATTACTGACAGGAAATAAGCCATGATCAGTACAGGGAGCTCTCTTGCGGTTGTTTTATTATGTTCAAGGGGTGAGAAAAACAAAACGAAGCCTGCCTACAGCCAGATCCAAGTGCAAGGAATCCAAACAGAATTTTGTTTTGTTGGGATAGAGTGAAGATAGAGGTTCAAAAAATAAAGACCGAGTAACACTGTATAATAAAGCATTTACCTTTCTTAAAGACATACATACACATTTTACAGTCCAAGTCCCTCAGCTTCAGGAGAGATGTTTATGACCGATAAAACCCACTTGATAAAGACCACCAAAGGCATACTCATCCACGATAAAGTTAGATTACTAACAGGCAGAGGAGGAACAAGATTATACAAGATTTTGGAGACGGATGGACCTCAAAATTTAAAATAAAGCAATCTTCTGATGGGCTGGAGGAAAAGCAGGGCTCTGCCATGGAGTCAACATCACACTGAGCTGAGAAGCTGATTCAGGGTGCACAAGCTTAAGACAAACGTGCAATGTTGCATCCAAAAACCTCTCATCTGTGCACCAATGCTGGAATTCGACACGGTTCAGCATCTACAGGCAAAACGATTTCTAACAGCAAGGTCTTTCCTCACACTCTAGATATGGGACAACAAGGTTTCCCAGCTACGACCCTGGGTTCAATTAACAAGAGCAGTCTTTCCAGGTTCTCAACAATCAAGAAGAGCTAAGCAAAAGCTAGGCCTCCGAGATGGGCCTCGGGCTGGCAACCCGCGATCCTCATCCCCTCGCGGCCCCCGCACCCCGGCTGTCCCTGTTCCAGCCATCTCCCCAGCTTCCCCGGTTCCCCCGTGCATCCTGGCTTCCCGACCCGCCGGGCTCCAAGGACGCTCGGCCCGCGCGGCCACGCAACCAGCACGGCCGAGGTCGCCGAGCGACCCGGAAACACTCGGGCCTGTCCCGCGCCCCTCTGGCGAGACACATATAGCAACACCGAGTGTTCTCCATATGGCCCCAGAACTCTGCCCAGGCTTCCCCCAAAAAGCACGCCCCACTCCCCGCTCTGGGGAGCCCAAGTCGGCGTCCCAGCGAGAGTCCCGCGCAGGTGTCTTACCTGAGGCGCGTACACGCGGAGCTGCGCATGCGCCAGGGCTGGCACAGCCTCACCCCTTCCGGCGTTGGCCCCGCCCACACACCGTAATTACCGCTTACTGTGCTCTTCCTAAAAGTCGATCCTGACTGCAGGCTACTTATATTATTCCATTGAATCCTCAAAACAGCTCTATGTCATAATAGGTGCTATGTGTATTTTATTTTACAGAGAAGGTGAGAGGTAGCCTCCTTCACCCCCTCCCCACAATCACACAGCTAGTAAGGGCAGGAACTTGGGCACTGAAAGCCTGTGCTCAGTCATTTTCCTACAACCTACAACCCAAAGTGTGAATCAGCAATACCGGCATCACCTGGGAGCTGGTTAACTGTGCGGACCTACTGACTCAGAATCTGCGTGTTAGCCAGATTCCTATACAATTCGTTTGTAAATCAAAATTTGAGAGTCACTGCCTGCCTGGCCCACTAGATTGGAGGAGGAAGAGGGGGAACCGAAAATGGGGAATGGGAGGAGGAGGAGAAAAGGAATAAAAAAGTCTATTAAAGTTCCATGTTGTTGGGCTACACCCTACAGGCCTCCAAACCTTGTATTTGCCCAGGCTTGAGAGCAAAGAAAGAGCCTGGAGACAGCGACAGAGACACACCCATGGCTTATTGGGTGGGGGATGTTACACATCTGAAGCAAGGTCCTGGAGCGACACCCCACCACATATGGCAGACAGCAGGCAGGACAGGGCAGCAATCTTCACGTTGTGGGGAGCAGGTAAAGGAGGCTACCACTTATAGGTGGAATTGACGTTAGGTTGGCTCATCAGGCTACTCAGCAACTGGGGCAGGGGGCAAGCAAGTAGGCAGTTACTAATTAAGCCCCATAATTAAGAGGATTGGATAGTCATGTGAGTGAATCAGGATCTGGTCAGGAGGGGGAAATGTACAGAGAACAAGAGAACAGCGATCTTGAATGGCCTGACTATACCCATGTGCATGACAAAGCCTGAAACACACAAAACAGACACAGATCTACCTTCACTGACATTATAGTCTAGCAGGAGGGGTGGAATATATCCACAAATAACTAATAAAGAGCACACATGATTAGGGCCTTGCTTCTGATTTGAGGGATCCATGAAGGTGTTAGACAAGCAGTAACAGTTGGAGCTTTGCTCCTGACATGTAAAGAACATGCCCCTGAGGAGCTCTCTGTACCTGCCCCAATTTTCCTGGCCAATCCTGCAAGCAGATAGGGTAGGGGATCCTTGAAGAAAGACAACTAGGCATGTCTTTCTTGACATAAGAGAAGTCATTTTTGACCTAAGCCATTTTGTAATCTAAACCTGGCCACAATGCTTATCCTTGAACTGGTCTCAGTAATTAATGATCTTAAGGGAACAAAAGAATTCAGGAACAAGAGAAGGAACAATATCAGACAAGAGAAGGAACAACAGCAAAACAGTAAATCAGGTTGTAAAGACTCCCAGTTCTGTTTCAATGGTAAAGATTAGCCTGAAGTACATTCTTGGCGTGTTTTGCAGAATTCAAGACCCACTCAACCACCAGATTCAACAGGAACCTAAGAAAGATGATTCTGACCCTTTCTGACCCTCATGACTTCAATTAACTATAGCTTGGATTCTGTCAACCTTTGCCCCAATTCTATGCTGAATTCTCTTCTGCTCAAGCCCCTTTATAAATATGCATACACCACCCAAACCTCTTTATGAATATACATATATCCTTAGCTTAAAACTTCCCCAATTTTGCTGTTCAGGGAGACACTGCTTTGGAGATCCCCAGGGTTATTCTTACTTGCTACATGTAATAAATCCTTCCTTCTCCCCAACTTTGGCTTGGTTCTGTCTTTTGGCCTGACATTCATCAAGAGGCAACCCAGTTTTTGGTAACACCCCAAGTCCAGCCCACACGGTTCATTTGCACAACTAAACTATCATAAGTGTAAGAAATAAATATGAGAAATATGGATGCATAAACTATACTCATTTAAAGCATGTTATCATTAGTCAAAATCACTCAGGTCTAGACATCTCTCTTACACTACATCAACTTTACTGGTATGTTCTTAACATCTGGGTTTATACAATCTTTTAGTCTCTTCTATCTGCTGTATAGAAACTACCTCTGGCTTGAACCTCCATTCTATTAATATTATGTGTCTAATTTTCTCTCAAGCGTTTCTCATAAGATCTCTTTTTGCACTCTTGCTTTTTATTTTGTCTGTTATTATTTTTGCTGTCATAACCTATTTTTCTCAAAACTTTTCAGACCTCTACCCCCAGGTATTACCTACTCTGTCAAGGTTTCCCTTTCCCCTCTAACCAGGACATACACAACCTTCAGCCATTCATTCCCATTTAAAGATTCATCCACAATAAATATGTCTCATTTTAAAAGCAACCCCAATGACTTCCAACAATTTGTTTAAATATAAATACAGATATTTAGATATATGTATGTGTATATATATATATATATATCACTTTAGGCACTACTCTATGCCTTGAGCTGCCAGGCTCTATTATGTTGTTTTGAAATACCAGAGCATCAGTGTTAAAGGTACCAGGATGACAAAACAAGATAGAAAGGTAATCAGAATGATTCAGATTGAAAAAAGAAAAGAAAAAAGCTTGCTAACAAAGACTGAAATTATTGCACAGAAACTCAATCACTTCCACTGGGGGATGTATATAACTAATTAATGGAGGTTGTTAATTGGGGTGGAAGTTTCCCAGTATCACACAAAACTTGACATCCTC